AATTTTACATATGATATACATCTATATGATATTGGTGAATATTTTATATACAATAAAATATATTTACTTGATTTATATAATATAGCATATTATACTTTATAATTTACATAATTTGTACAAAATTCATATAATTTACAATATAAACTATAATTTATAAATAAAACATGAAAAATATATAATTTATATGTTACAAATATTCTACCTATAATTTAAAAAATTATATTAATTATATACTATATTAATAAAATTATAATGTTTCTTTTCAAGTATCAGCCAATGCATCAAGGCAGAAAAAAATGAAGCAGGAGGCAAATTTTTGTTATTTGCAGACAATATGGTTATGGGCCTAGACTATCTAAGGTAAACTGAGAAACAAACTATTAAGAAAATCTTCAAAGTTACAAAATAAATGTGCAGAATTAATAGGTTTCTCATATGTCAGTAATAATCGATTTTACTTAAAAAGCATGTTAGTAAGGAAAATAAAAGGTGAATAAGTGGAGAGAGAGAGATATTGTATTTTTGCCTCAGAAATAATATATTTTAAACATGTGAATTCACCATAAATTAATCTATAAATTCACTGCAATCTCAAACAAAATTCTAAAAGATTGAAATTTCCATGTGACAAACTGATTTTAAATTTCACCCAGCATATACTTGTGAGAGTAGCCATGAAATATTAGAAACATCAGACCAATGTAAAGAAACTTGCAAAGACACATACTAAAACAAATTGTAAAATATATCAATAAAATTATGGAAAATAAAATTAGACCTATCTCTTAAACCACACACTTAAATAATTTCAAATGCATTAAGTATTAAAATATAAAAATGAAGTATATAAATGTTAGAAGACAGTATAGGTGAATAACTATATTCTTGAGGTAAGAAATATTTTCAATAAATACCAAATTCAGAAACCATAAAGAAAAAGATTAATAGATTTAAATATATAGAAATTAAAAACTGCTATATGTAAAATACACTCCACACACAAAAAAAGATCAAGGACAAACTGGTAAAAGGATATGCAATACCTGTAACAGAGAGAAAATTAACATTTTTTCTATGTAAATAGCTTTTGCAGAGCAGAAAGGGAAGAAAATGCCCAGTAGAAAAAACAAGAGCAGCCACAAATTGCCAGTGATACAAAATCACGTGGAAAAATATAATCTCACCATAAACCAAAGAATGCAAATCAAAATGAGATCTTTTGTCTGTCATAGAAAAATCAATAATAATTTTACATGCATGGAATAGAATGTTCAAAGAAATGAGGAAAGATGCCTGATGGAGATCTTTTCTGATGCCCGATGGAGATCTTTTCTGTCCTCAATCTTATTAGTGTAAAGATGGAGACAGTGTACAGTTGATTAGGCTAGTCCAAATTCAAAGGCACAGGATAATTAGTGTGGTGGGGAGAGTGAAGAAGAGGGTAAATCGTAATGGCATATTTAGTGGGCACTGACAGGTTAGCATATCGTCTGTACTAGAATTGATATTTTCATATTTACAGGTTCCAAACACAAAATTCCTGTGGCCTTTGAATGGCTGAGAGCAAAATTTTAGAATGTGGATAGTACACTTAATGATAAGTTTAATAATGAACTTAGTGCTTGATAAAACTGTTTGACATACTTTTTGACAATGTGTTGAAACATTTAAATGTATACTGCTCACTAAATATATAATCCTTAGAGCTTTTTGTGAGCATAATTGGAAGAAAATAAGTTTGCCTATGGGGATGTTAAGCTCCCCTTTCTTCCTTCTGCCATAGTTTTCCCAGATACCATCCCACCACCTCTATGAATTCAGTATGCTCAGGTTATTTGGGTCCATTTGTCTCAACTGTTTAAGAGTTGATTTTTTATAGTTTATGATAGAATTTATGTTTGTGTCTCTTCATTAAGTATTCATACTTTAACTTGTTAGCACACATGAACATTGTCAAAGAGTTTTCACATGCTCGTAATATCTGAACTTCACTCTAAGAACCTGTGAGTTGGGCGGGTATCTCAGAGAGGTAAAGTCACTTGGGGAAGACTCACACGCAGCAGACAAACTGGGCTTAGAGTTCAAATCTTCTCATTCAGGTCCAGTGCTCTATCTGCTCTACCAGTCCATTTTCTTCTAAAGGAGGAAGGCTAAAGATGGCCATGACTCCTCTAAGTGATGGAACCTCGTAGAGGTGATGTTTTGAGGATTACCTCAAGTCAGGTTCTCAACCTGCTTGACTAGAACAAAACTGATCTATGTTTACCTGACTTTGGAGGGTGAGTGAGTAGGAATTTCTTCCTTACTCCCAGGACCTCTGGTTATGGGGAACATTCTGGGAAAGTGACCAATGGCATGACTCTTGTCCAGGGAGAGGCCCTCATACCCAGGGCCCCAACATGTCAGATCTCAGAGCACAGAGAGAAGAATGCCATTTGTTTTACTACCTTTTATGGCCTCTTTCACAGCAGAATCAACAGGGATTATGTTCTTCTCCACCAGTTCCAGTGGCCCTGGCCGGAGAGCAATTTTTTCATTGAGATCATCTGCAAGCCGGGCTCTTTTCAGCTTCATCTGAGCAGTTGGAATGGACCTCTCTGCAGTGGAGGCTAAGGGGTTGAAATTAAAAGGATCAGTTTTAGAATTTGATGTTATTATTATTTTCTTTTGCTTTTGTAACCAAAACATTGTGTTACATTGTGTTCTACCATTCTAATAATTTTTCAATGCAATGATCATAATTTTACATGGATTAGCAGCAAAGACTAGTCACTTCCAAATAAAGAAAATAGAGAGTCAGGCACACAGGAAATTTAGAGAAACTTGCTCTGCAAGGGTTTTTGAAAAAATGTGCAATTTGGTGATTCTGTAAGCAAGCAGTCCATGAGCCTGCATTGCTTACTGACCCTAAGCTACAGCATTTGGACGCACACTCTATCGGTATGTTCCCTGGTACAGGCTGAGCCTGCAGTAAATGTGATCTATTATTATAATTAGGGTTTTTATACTTGTTGATATGATACTGACTGATTCAAATGTCCAGGTCAGTTGTAAAAGAAAAAAAATTACTTTGAAACAGTTACTTAATCAAACAGAAAGATGTAAAAAATTGAATTTACCAACAGGCAGTTTCTCATCATTTGGTGGGTCAGAAGGTCACTAACAGAGTCCTAAATAAATCCTATGTTCTTCTTTCAGTCAGGCCCTGACTTATTTCTGTGGGAGAATTTAGAAAAGAGTCTAGTAAACCAGGTCTTGCTATAATGCAGCTCTGTAAGTTAAGATTCCTTAAGGGTTTACAGCTTTACTCTCAACTTTGGATATTTAGAAGGTGAGATATTTACAGATCAGCCTTTCGACTCCATTTTTCTGCTATTGATCAATCTACTAACCCAAGCCTTGTGTCTGATCTAGAAATCTCCATGCAGTAGAGGTCTAGTGATGTCTAAATGTGGTAGCAGGTCAGACTTATCTACAAGCTGCTTTTGCAAAGCATTTCATGTGAGATGGTAAAATCATCAGCACTCCAAACCAAAGAATGGGGGTGCATAAGCCTAAATCCTGTCTTAACCACCCGTGGGGTCATTGCAAGGGCTTCTTGCTGGATACCCTGCCTTAGGGATCTTTCTGATCCAGTCTGCACAGCAATATAAGATTAAGCTTCAGAAACACTCCTTTCTTGCCCCCCCCTCCCCCGAAAGATGCTCCTGTCTGTCCAAGTCTCTTGATCTGGCTTGGTAAGCTTGCCCATAAACTGAATCTACCCCAACTCATGACCTGAGATTCTCCATCCCCAAACTACCACTTCGGCAAACCTAGTCTTCTCCTTTCTGTTCCTCATGTCTTACTGAGTTCATCTTTGTACCTTTGTTACTTATTCTCCCCACTCTGGAGTGCTTCCTACATTCTCTCCACCACCAACACCTTCCTCATCTTCAGGTCTCAGCATAAAGCCTCTTAACTCCTCTTGTTCTTACCGATCCCTTTTTCTACAACTGCCTTTAGCAGTTACAAGCATTGACTCTTAATCTCATATTGCTGCTCTCAAAATTGGGGATCAGTGGTCATTTTGGATTCAGCAGATCCTTGGTGCTCCAGGGTGCTAATTTTCCAATTTCTGTTGGGGGGAATAGGGGATTCCATGGAAATCGATAGAGGCACACAACTGAACCAGAGGTCACTGTGGTTCATAGCCTGATATTTTAATTCCAGACCATAATGTTTTAACAAATAACATTTCTTATTTTTTTTTTTTGATTATAGTATTGCTACTTATTCATTGTCATAAATGTGGAAAATGCTAAAAGGAAAAAAAAAAGTATACAAAAGAAAATGAAAGCACTGGGAAACTCCCCACTTAGAATCAACTGTTTTTAATAGGTGGATGTCCTTCTTAATTTTTTGTCATTTTTTATATGGATTATTAGGGCTGTATTTTTTCATTATAGAATCTGACTGTAAATAGTTTATGTGTATGTTTTTTCTTCCTTGAATTTTATTGTAAATACAGTTTTTTTTTCCACCGAATATCATCTTGTAAGCCTTTCTTCATTAAATCAGTATTCTTTTAAAGCCTTATTTGTAGTGGCTGCAAGGTATTTATATGGCTGATTATAATTTATTCATCCCATCCCCTATTTTTGGACATTTCATTCTTTGCAATGTTTTATAATCTAAAGTAATTCCATAATAAAAATTTTACATAAATCTTGGTATGTCAGGTTATTTTCTTTCGATAAAATACAGGCATACCTTGTTTTGTTGCACTTTGCTTTACTGTGCTTCACAGATGTAGCGTTTATTTTACAAACTGAAGGCAAGACCTTCTACCACCAAAAAGATTACAACTCGCTTTTTATTACAATACTTGCTTTATTGTGGTGGTCTGGAACCAAACCCAAAATATCTCCCAGGTATACCTATACTAGAAATTTATTACTGGGCTAAAGAAGGGAGACATTTTAAAGAAATTTGATATACATTGGACATTCCTTTGTGCTCAGAGAGAGTTAGAAAGTGGCGCAGCTAAGATTGGAACCCAAGTCCGATGCCTTCTCAGCCATTATATGGCTTCCCAATTTGATTGTCTATATGGCCTAAAGTGACTAAATGACTGCTCAAAAGTACCACTTTCTAATGGCAGGTAACCCATTCTAGGAGGACCTAGCAACTGTACAGAGACAAGTAACTCTGGCAAAATAGCCCACCATCTGGTGGTGTCTTGGCGTATGACTTTGTGCACTCTTACCCTGGAGTATGTGCATATTAACCGAGTCAGTACCGTCCGACCTGTTTCTGACCTTGCGCTTCAGGCTGTCTTCAGTCTGTAGGCCCAAACACAGAATAACTTCTGTTATCAACCACATACAGTTGAATCACATAGTTTTAATTGTAAAAGAAATCCGATTTCTTTCAAAGGGGAAGAGTATTCTGTTTATGACAAATGAAACATGCAAATGTTCTTGGCTTATGCTTTGATGCAGGAACATTTACAAAAGCCTCTCTACTAATTTTAGGTGGAAAAATAAGATAAAAAGGTAAAAAGCTTGGATCCACATCAGGGCTACAAATTTAAAGGCCAGGCAGGTACTTGTTGATAAAATATTAATAAAACTGTGATGATACTAAGCTGCTTGTATTATAGTCAATCCTATTCCATTGCCTCTTAAAACTGCCACAAAATTAACTAGGATTAGAGATGAAATGTAACCTGAATCCATCTACCATAACATGGCAACATATGCCCTCCTCCCATTATTCACCTGATTTATTTCTTAGAACATGCGGAAATGTAAAGCCTGCAAATTCAGACCCATTGTGGGTTGGAAGGACGCTTAGAAACAGATTATTTACTGAGTTTCATCGTCTTCTTGGTAATGCAGCTATCTGTGGGGATGATATAGGCTGTGGTAAGACCTCAGCTAGACCTCAGGGCCCTGATTTCTAGTTTTGGATTTTTATCTCACTATTGGATTTCCTATTTGGCCCCTGTGAGGGGTGTGGGGACAACTCCAGTTCTGAAAACAGGCTCTCATGAGCACATTTCAAGAGTTACCAAGCTCTGCTCCTTTCTCTTCCCACAGACTAGTTGCAAGGCTAGAACTCTTAGACAAAGAAATCTCAGAGAAAAGACACCTCCTTCACATATTTTCTCATTTACAGCTCTGATGCTTACTAAATAGTATTTATATTATTGATAAGTTCAGATGGCAGAGATTTGCTACAAAGGTGTAGAATGTATGCCAATTTTCTCCCCAAATGCGCCCCCCAACCCAACCCAGAAACAGAAAGAGAAATACACTCAGTGCCTTCGACTTAAGTAACTGCAGAATAAGCTCTGTATCCACAGGCCCAACGGGACCACTGGTTTGCATTTTTTTAAAATCTGATTGTTGCTAAGAAAGGACTATAATGAAAGATGAGATACTTTGCACACCAACTTCGCCTCCCTTTTAAAATAATTTTTGACTTCTACTTCATCCTTGCAGTGACCTCTCCGGCATCAAAAGGATTGGGGGCATTTTTTTTTTAAGCTAAAAAATAACAATTTCAAAGCTAATGTAGTTGATCCCATTTCCACAGTTTTCAGTTCCTAGGCATAAGATTCCATATGGTGTGGGGGTAGGGAACCAGCAAATTGGTTGTGTTTGTTGTAGAAATTCTACCTGCTTTAGTCAAAGCTTAGCACGCAGATACCCACACCCTGGAGTCTCAGCTCAGAAAGAGGGCAGTTTGGAAAACATTACCTTGTCACTATCCAAATGTTTTCTTTGCTCATGGAATACAGTTGCAGTTTTCAGTGCTGAAACAGAAAGACAAAGACGTGAGCAGAATGGGCTGAGGGGCCCCGAGCAGCATTGCAGGATTTGCTGGTGAGCTTGCTGAGCTGTGCACAATACCGATGTGGTCGCCTTTATTAGGCCACAAGCAATTAAAGAGCAAAGGCCTGGAAGACACCAGTTTCCCTGAAGCCACAAGATACAGAGGAAGGTGGAATTCAGGACCATACAGAAGGAACAGCAGAGGCAGATGCGACAGGAAGAGAAATGGCGGCGACAGGGCATTCCGAGTTCTTGAGGAAATACAGGGAGTTGTGGAAAACTGGGGACAGAAGTAATGCTCTAGTTTGAAGAGTGGGGTAGACTGGGGAAACACCCTCTTTGACTGTGCTCTGCCCTTGCTGGGTGGAGGCTGTGGTCTGTAGGAAAGTGGTCCCATATTGTAGGAAGGGACTTGTGCCTTGGATGTGGTACATGGCTGGTTGGTAGAAACATGCAACTAAGGATGTTGAGTGAGAAGCACAGAATCAGACTTTGAGGGCTGGAAGGGACCTTGGAGATAGTGAAATACAACTCCAACCTTGAACAGAATAGAGAAACTGGGGCCCATAGAAATTGACTGACTTTACCAGGTCACACAGTTAGGGTTAGGAGCCTAGGTCCTCTGACAACCTAACTTCTTTCAAGGTGTGATATTCAAAATATGAACAACCAGTAGACACAGACACTGATCAGTCATAGTACACAGCAGCTATAAACAACCTGGACCGAATGCCAGCTTCCACTGTTTCCACTGTTCACTATTCTCCCTCCGCACTATCTCATTAGCTCCTCTTTATGATGATTTAGTAAACTCTTTTGATTTAGCACAGAGGTAGGCCTTCATTCAACAAAATTCTACTTTTTTAAAAAAATAGTTTTTCTGATCCCCTTTACAATCTCAATCAGGAGTCACAATCACTTTTCATTATAAGTGATGAAGTTGATCAGAAGTTACACAATTCCATTGAATATTATATTTTTCTGAATTGTGAGTTTGGACAAATTGATAAATCACATGATCCAAAGTTCTGCTATCACTCTAACAGATGTCCACTCTTAAGCTACAGGCAATGAAATATCTTTCCAAACTTTGGCTAGCATAAAAAACTGGGTTTCTGGCCAGACTGGCACTTGGGGCAGTGTGTGTGTGTGTGTGTGTGTGTGTGTGTGTGTGTGCACCCACATGTGTGCACACCTCTCATTCAATCCTTAAGATCATGTTAAATTTGAGCAGTTTTCAAAAGGGCATGCTGGACATCAAGCAAATTCCATTGTAATCCTGGCGGCTGTTCAACCATGTCATCCTCTATTGAGGACACTGCTTGGGAAGGTATTAAGCATGCCCTCTGTAAATCTCCCTGCCCAACTCCGACATTAATAATGTTGACCAAAGGAACATGCAGAATAGTTTGGGCTGGCTGCCGTGTGCCAAGTATACTGGACAAGCATCCTTGTCCTTTGTGAAGAGATTAAGAGGCTTCTTTTCTTATAAAAAAAAAAAAAATTGAATATGTTGTTTGAATATCACATTTCCTATTGATCTAACACCAGTTTCTCTTGACCGTTTTTACTCTTAAAATGGATTTCTTTGCAAAATCTGCCATTTCAAATAGCCCTTCCCTGTCATCCCCTTTTGCCCCCACTCGGGTGCTCTGAGAAATCACCTGAAGAAATGTGAAGTTCTACTGCATTGTTTGTGCATTTCCTGTGATTTGGGTCTGATCACCATCCTTAGTAAGGAGGCTTACCTTTTCCTGCATTTGATCATATATGGCTGGACTTCTCAAAGCAACTCCCATTTCTCCAGGCTACCAGATGCTACAAGTCTGCTTGAAGTCCAGTGGGCCCTGGTGAATCTGTACCATCTGAGCTGATAGGTGTTCAGCTGTGTCCTACACTCTGGTGTTCATCTAATTAGGTATTATGCATTTGTGTGGCTTAACCATTTACATAATACAGAAAAGAAATTGATCGTAGTGGTTAAAGAGTAACACATCACTTCCCTAAGAAGCAACCCCTTAAGGGAACAGTATGAATGTATCTTGAAATATTTCTTAGTTTTCAAACTCAATTGGTCTTAATTGGGCTTAAGACTTAGGAGGAATTTATCTGGTTCTGTTGTCCCTGAGGCTCTTCAAACTCTTTTTAGCGGAGCTTATTAATTGTTCTAAGAAACATTGCATTTCCTGTATGTTAGCTTGTAGAGCTATAATTCATCACTTCTTGGTGTTAACAACTCCCCTGTGAAATGATTCATACAGTCCAGTTCCCTGATGCCAAGAGCACGAAGTTCTTCTGGAACCTTCTAACACAGGGTGGGAGAAGCTATGCCCGTTTAGCAAGGACTTGGGAAGAGAGCCAAAGAGGTCCACACACTGTTTTTTACCATATGCTCCTCTCCTCAAAGCTTAAGGGGGATGTTCTATAGGGCACTGGTTTGAAGTGACACTGTGGAAAACTAGCCTGCCATGGTCCTGCAACTGAAATTCACCTTTTCTGTGACTCTAGAGAATGTGGGTTTTGGCCACCTCTCCTAGGGGCCAGTAAAAATCATAATGCACTAGCCCCCAAAGTTGACTTTTGGAAATTACATAAAAGATCTCTTTTGTTGTTAGCCCTTGGGAGACCGAATGGCAAAATTTTGTATTTAAGGGACATTGACATTTAAGATTGAAAAGGAATTTGAATATTAAATTTTAAAAATAAGTCAGTGTGATTTCATATTAAAATACGATTGTAAATTCAGTCAGTCACATATCTAACTCATTCTCCTTGGAGGAAGATTAATTGCTTCTCACAAGGGAATTCATGTTCTCACCTCAGAGATTAGCTATGGGCTATTCCTATTTCTGTCCCTGCAGCTCTAATTTGGGTCAAATGTGTGTATAAACATTTGCTTACTTAGAGCTCAAAAAAAGATCTCAAGATAAGAACAGGCTTCCTGCAGTTCCCTGCTCAGCACTCTAACCTCGTGTTTCCAACAGGAGCCCAAAAAGGGAGAACATAGGTCATGGGGCACTGAGGAATCAGTTAAGCACAGGACTTTCTAGCACAGGGTGGAGGCTGGTGTTGGTGGCAATTCTGATAGCAGAGGCAGGGCTGTGCCTGAGGTAGGGCTTATCTTCTCTCTGGAGTCAGCTCACTCTCAAGCTTGGAGGGAGAGAACACAGCTCCTCTCATATTACTGATAAGAACCAAGAGGCACAGTCAAAGAGACAGTGCCCTGGGGCAGCAGCTGGAGCAATAGTTCTCAAAGTCTGGCTCTTCTCCTTCTCCTTCTCTTTCTTTCTTCTCCTTCTCCTTTCTTCATTATCTATGCCTACAGCATTTAGTCTTCCTAGGTGGTCTCCCATCCAAGTACTAACCAGGCCTGACCCTGCTTAGCTTCCGAGTTCAGACATTGGGCTTGTTCAGGGTGGCATGGCCGTAGACCATGGACTGTGGCTCCACTGGGGTGTGAACTCAGGACCTTCTGCGTGTAAAGCAGATGTGTTAACTGCTACACTATGGAACCACGTCCGAGTAATAATTGCTAGGAGTGATTTTCAGTATTTCAAAAACATTGAAGAAAAAACAAAAAGGTTATTTGCTCAGAGAAAGGCTGCTTAGGTGAATGGAACTGTCACTTTTCACTGTTGCTGCCTAGAATCGCAACAACTTGGTTTAGTAATGGTTGTCCTCATGAAAAAGCACTGGCTGGTAAATTTCTAAGCCATTAATTAGTCAAAGAAACACATTGGTTAATAATTTATGTATGTAGGGCTCTTTAGGAGGAAGACAAAACTATTTCAAACATAAGATCTATGGCAGTGATGGGTATAATTTAAGAAGTCTTGGATGACTGAAATTTTGAGAACCATTCATTTGGGTTCTGTCCTTGCTTTGCCATCTATTTTTTTGCCATCTATTATAACCTTGAACAAATCTGATAGTTTTCCTGTGTTCTTAGTTTTCCACTTATAATATGGCTTTAGTAACGCTTGTCCTTTCTTTGCCTCGCTTTTAAAGATAAATTGGATCATGAGTGTTTTTCTTCCAAGCAAATGGGATGCATGCCATGCACAAGTGATAACGCTTTGGAATTTATATTCTCTCTTTAGGTAGGCAATAAATTGCCTATTCAGTATCCAAATGATAGTCTTAGGGGTCTGAAGAGAGTACATTTTCCCAGTGTAGCTTTGTAATACTGAACACCTGGCTTGTGCACTTGAAGAAGTTGATGCAACATACATGAATACTTTGGAATTTCTCAGAAGAAGGGTACAAAGACAAATTCGAAGTATGCTTGTGGTTACTGGTTTACTAGTTTCTAAGGAAAAGGAAACCAGAAAATTGAACGAGAAGGGGAAAAAAAAGAAATTTAGGATTATTGACCCAAATGGGTTTGCCTTGAAAATCCAGGGTGCCTTTTCCTATCTCTGAATTTGAGATGTTAGAAAGAAGGGAAGAGACAGACAGATTAAAACCCTCGTGACGTGTTCTGCTCAAACAGCCAACAGTGTGTGGTAGGGTGCTGTAGGGAGAAGCCAAGTCAAATGAATGCACTGAGGAAAAGGAGAAAGGCTTTGCCCAGTCAACTTCTCAAAACTATCATGAAGCTGCATGTGGTGTGGGTACAGGAATTGCCCCAGTCATTCTTCTTGCTATGCAGGAGGAGTATCACAGAATTCAAGGATTTACCAGGGCTTTGCAGTAAGTATGTGGCTGCTGTGGCTTGGATTAGTCTGCAAAACAAATAAAGGCAGCACCATTCATAGACAGCTCATTGTATCTTTAAATTCATTGACATTAATCAGATCATGGAACCAAAGCTGCCCAAACAGTTCTCCTGGCTAGTGGCAGCTTTCTCTGAGTCTGTGAAGTTACAGCCTCTCTGGGCCCTGCGTCCTCTGCAGTTTATTTCTGTTCTGTAATCTCGTTTTCTGTATTTCAGAAAAATAAGCCAAAGGCTCCCTCCTCTATCCTGGGTTCATATAGAATAGCCCACTTTTATAGCAGAGGGAGAGGGAAAG